ATATTACATAATCAACTATATAGTCTGGGAAAATTGCAATGTTGAGCGATAAGTGACATCAAGCGTAAAAGGGATGGAAGTTTTAAGCTTACATAGTTTACCGGCTCGCACGTCGATTTAATCCCCTTAGCCGTTAAATCGGTTGACTTAGAACTTGAACTCGCGTAACTCGAGCGTAGCTCTTTCTCGGGAAAACGCGCGTAGTCTCTTCTCTCGTATCTCAAGTAATTTAACCTTCGGTCACCGCAAAAGCGTTGCTTCTCCTTTTATTAACGATAAATCATGGCGACTTTGCGAGAGATGAAAAGTGTACGGCGCCGGTAATAAAACGTATCGCGCGTCGTTCGCTCCACTGTGTTGCGCGATTTATTTTCCTCTTTTCTCGCTTAAGTGCTTCGTGATTTACACATTTTTTTTGCACGATAAATATTCGTTTGTCTGTGTTTTTGTTTGTAGCCGCGTTAAAAAGCGTCATCTTACGAATTTACAATCTGACTATATACATGTACGTAATAAACAATCAGCCGTGAACAACTCGAATTAAAAAAGTCTCCAATTGTCCAAATTTCGTTAGTAAAGAAAATCAATGGTCAGGTTTCTTTATTAACGAAATCTGGCAAGAGACAAAAAATAAAGAAAGAAAATATCGCAAAAAATATCCCGCTAATTAAACGAGATAACACACGTCGCTGCGAAAGACAATGAACGGGAGGGTGGCGAGCGAATAAGTTTTCGCGAATTCACCGCGCGAGAACGGTCGGAGAGCATATTCTAAAGATCATGTCGTAATTTATTTCACGAGTGAGAAGAATAGTATTCCACTTAAGATCATCCCTTTAAACGCGAATCCCGTACCTCTCGTTCTCGCGGCTTCTCTTTTTCCTCAACTGCACGGAGAACCTTATCCGCCTCTCTTTTCCACGCCGCCTCCCATATTCCGCCCAAGTCGTAAGCCGGATTTACGAGCTCGCCGCGCGTCTCACTAGAGACGGAAATGCTCGCGCGTCTCGTCGTCATCGTCGTCGTGCGACGCTATCCGCTTGCGGGACGGTTTCTCTCCGATCCGCAGACACAGCAGCGCGCTCAACAAATCTCCGCGCGCGGCTCGGCACTTCTTTTACATCCACCCTCCGTGGATTATCGTCATATTGCGGATATAAACGAAGAAGCGCACTTCTGTATAAACACGTTCCGCCGCACCCGCCGTGTCCGATGTAATTACATCGTTCGATAAATTCGCTTCGAAAAAGCAACGGCTACGTAGAGCACAGGAAATGAATAGGTGCTGCATTTTGCATGAGAGTTAAATTTGTTGTTAATTATTTACTCGGCTACGGTGTTGCTACTAAACTACGCCAACAATTTTCGCGTGCTTTTTTTCGCGTGATTAAACTCTCTGTGACTTCATTAATTAACCTCTTCGTCGCGCGAACAATTAATGTTGTAATAATGTGAGCTTTTTTTTGATAAATGTTTGAACGTGAATTTTGATTTTTACTTTATTATTTGTAACGGGAAGAGAAGAAAAGAGAGAGAGAGAGAGAGAGAGAGAGAGAGAGAGAGATGAAAAGTCTAGGCAAAACGAGAGACCTATTGTTTTCGTCACGCTCACATAGACACAGTTATTATTACAGTATGTTCGAGAACGTAATTACTTAATTATATGAATCTCATTTTCCACGGAATTTATCGGAAAAATTGTTTTGTTTTAACTCCGCAATTTCCGCGCTTCTACACTTTGTCGGTAATTTTGCTTTAACTTTTGCGCTGCGTTAAAAAAAAACGCCGCGTCGAATACTTCATCCTGGGAAATCAAAGCCGCTGCACAACGTTGCCTTAAATAAAGATAAAACGCAATGCAAATAAGGGCCGCACGTTTAAGCAGAACGGCGTGCCAGAAGGGGGAGAAAGTGGACTGAGAGTCGATTGAAAACGAGAAAACTTTTTCACCATTGTTGCTCCCGGTCGCTCTCACTCGTCGGAAGTTACGAATGCGTCGATTTATCCGGAGCTCGCGATTAAGTTGGATCCGCCGCGGAAAACATCTACGCCGATTCATCTCGCGGAGAAAAAATCATTGCAAAGCGCAACCGGAAAGCCAATCTCGATTGCATGCTCGGTCTCGATTGTGAGCTTCGATATTTAATTGGAACGACAATTAAAGTTGATCAAGGAAATGCCACCGCGAGTGAAACTTACTCCAAACGATCATTTTTAATAAAAGACATTATATTTATAAACTATGTTACAATGATGTTAAATAAATAAATATAGAAAACCTTATCTAAAATTATCACATTTCTTATACATAAAATTGTGATCGGGAAGTTGTAAATCAATGAAATAACTAAAAAATAGAGATTAAAAAAACCCACTCGTTGTATCCAATTTTACAAAAGTGCTTGTAAATACCACGTGTTTTTATTAAAAGCCATTTTGCACGCGTGACTAGCACGACAGTAGCAACCTACACATTATAAAAAAAAATATTTGTATTTACAATAAACAAGATATTAGCTGTGTGACAACTAATCCAGTGTGACAACTCCGATCTCCTCTGTGACAGAGTTTTTTTACACAAGTAGCGCAATTGTGAGCAACTGAAACATATTGTCGTGAGCATTTGGCGAAACGAGACAAACGGAGAGATAACCGGCTGACTTGCATAATAGGCTGCACCGTTAAAGGGGAACTGTTGGCATCGTCACGATGTATAATCTTCTCCGGTCGCGATGCGAAAGAAACGTTGCCGCTGCCGCTTTAAAAGGGACGACGTTCGGATCAGTCGCTTTGTACGCGGAATATCATACAAAGACGCGTAGAGATGATGCGTTAAAGCTCGAGTTGTTAAAGGAGCTGACCGCGAGAGCTTTCACTTTAGCTACGGCTCGGAAGCTCGGTTGGGAGCGTATTTCTCATTATTCGGATGAGAACATATCCTCAACAAGTCGACGTCCGCGGCAAGAAAGAGAACACAGCGCTGTATCCTCTTTTATATCGAGAGCTGTCGCGATTTTTTATCTATTTCCCGTAACATGCGCACGCGTGTACATCGATCTTTCGCCGTTAAAAAGCGCGCAAAGGGTGTAAATTCCGAAGTACAAGATATTAATCTCGTTGAGGGAAGAAGCAAACGAGAGGCGCGCGTTGTTTTCTAAAGAAGGGAGAGATTTGATATTAAAAAAGTGGATGTGTTTACAGGACGCGTGCTCGATTTTCATAAATTCTTGCGGCCTGTATATATGTATATATATCAAATGTGCAACTTGTGACAAACGCGTCGGTCGTACATACACAAGGCACGTTTCAACGTTGCCTTCGTGACGCCTATATTGCTGTCATAAATCTAACAAGGCGGCGTTACTTCCCCGCCGACCGCCGCCGCCTATACACTTCCGACCTTCGCGTTCGGTAAAATAGCCGTCTATGCACTTGCCTCCCTGGTATTATTTACGTCGATTTAATGAACCGCGTTTGCGAAACCGCATAAAAGATTCGCGAGCGGCTCCGGAAAATCAATTAGCAGCATTCTTTAAAATTTTTTTTCTGCGAATGCATTCACGGAAAAAAAAGTTTTGCTGCTGCAATGCCGACGAGAAAAATATTTTGAGTCTACTGAATGTTTTGTTTAATCACCAAAACATTTTGTTGGCAAAAGAAAAAATTCAATGGATTGAACGAATTGTGTTTTGCCGGCCTTGTAATAGCAAAATTGTCATGAAAGACAAACGCGCGAAAACAAGATGTGCCTTAAAAGAGATTATTTATTATATCGTAAAACGTTTTGTTGGCAAAACAAAATCTTCAACAGGCTCAACAAAATTTTTTTGCAAAAGCATTTGAAAAAAGAAGTTTTTTTTTTATAGTCAGCAATAAAAATTCAGTCGATTCAACAAATTTTTCTTGCAAATGCACTCGTGTGGAAAAAAAATTTTGTTATTATATTACCGGCAAAACAAAAACTTCAATAGGCTCAGCCACTTTTTCTTGCAGGTCATCTTCTTGTTATTCTAACAAACTTTTTTTTTTGCGTTTTCGCGCGTTTGTCTCTTATGACAATTCTCTTGTATGAAAGCGCATACCGCAATGCGAAATTGCGCAATTTGTGTTTGCGAAATTGTGTTTGGAATCTAACGTTAGCGCGCGCCGCACATAGTGACATTTGCGCAATTTAACGGAGCTATATCGCGCGGTTACATCGATTTTCGTAAATCGAGAAATTACTGCGGCACGACGGGTTTAGTTATTATAAGAGCGTTATCGGCTGCGAAAACAGACGCATTTCATCACCTTCGATAAATATGTTTGTATTACCATTTAACGACCTTGCGACCTGCGACGTGTAAAGGCAGTAAAGTTTTTTATGATCGGCGATATCGATTATATTCGCCGCACGACCGCAATAAAAACGACGCGCTCGCGGCAAACGTCAAAAAATATTGTTTTCGTATCGATTTAATATATATACTGCTTACCTGGTAAAACCAATGCGGCGACGTAAGCAGAGAAGAAAAAATAAAATCTCCTAAACCAGGATTTTTTTTCTTTCGTTTTTACATCCGGAAAACGAAATTTTTTTTTCTTTAATTGACGGGACGGTACATTCGCGCGCATATCGCGGGACGCATTATATCGTCATATCGCGCGTTTGATGGAAAAACGTCGCGCATATCGCGATGAAAAACGTTTGCCATTTCCCTCCCCTTCGCCTCCCTTCTCATGATTTTCCGTATACACACACACGAGCGAGCGAGCCATTGAGTTTCGAGAAATAAATCTCAATGTTGCCGAGATTCGTCGTGGACCAGTAGAGTGGAAAATTGGACCGCGTCAACGTGTTTGGTTCGTGACAACATTTTCTTGCTTTTAATATTCAATAAACAAGGAATTTGTAACCCGTCGCGAAATATTTTCCGCGCGTGAAGTGCCACGTGTGTGAATTTTTCCCATAAAATTTCGACTCGGAAATTTCCACTGACGTGATTTTCTTTTTGTTTCAGGGCCATGACAGCTGGCAGGGACACGACAGTGACCAGGTGAGTGTTCGATGTTTTGGAAAACTCTCTCGCGAATGCGTACAATTTGCACTCGATTCCTTTTTCCTTTCCGCTTCTCTTTCGTCGAGAATAAGAGACACCCTCGCTTCCTTTCACACGCTTCGTGTTCTCTATCGCCCCGCATTTGAGTCCCTCGGCTTCTTTCGGAAAAGGCATGCTAACTCTGCGAGATTCTTTCGCAATTTGCATGTTGATGTGCTGGTTCCGCGGCGGAAACGCCACGTTTGTTCGTCCGCCCGGTTCTTCGTGCGCTACGCCGAATTTTCCCGGAGCTGCTCCGACAGAATGCAAATTGCATGCTCTCACACACTCCACGGTCTCTCCGCTTTGATTTTGTTGGACCCTCGCGATTTTGCAATCGCGATGAGTGTGTTTATTACTGCCGGAGTTTCTAACGCCGAACTACGTTGCATTTTAAGTTGGAGAAGTGCAATATTTATTATACTTCTGCGCGTTCGAATGCGCATTTAAACTAGTGGAAATTTGGAATATAATCCCTTGCTGGGAATCAACTTGTAATTGCGTGTCACATGGTCAGTCTACGCTTGATCTTCCTTTGCCGATTGCGTGGAAGCTGCGTGATAAGAACATTTACATCAAGTTTTTCAGAAAACATCAAATGTGATTAAACTCTTTCAGGCGCCTATACAACGTTTTGAAAGTTTGTTTGGAATGTTGGCGCCTTTAGGCGCTCAACCGATATCGCTCAAATGGCGGTGCTGGAGGCGCCTTCAGGCGTTCGGTATTTATTGTCGGTATTCATGTATTTTTATTTTAATGCAATGTAATTCAGTGTTTCGGCAACTTTTATACTTTCTACAGAACTTTTATACTTTGTGCGCCAACGAAAAGTTTCGCCGTCTGTCACGCGTTCTGCATTAGACTTTGCCGAAAGAGTTAAGAGACAGAATAGTACGAAACGGTATCACGAGTTTCGTGTTATTCAGTCAAACGCGGAAAGAAAGCTTTGGTATTCAATGACCAGCAAGAGAAAATTGCTATAAGCTTACTGAACTTTTTGTTTCATCAATCACAAAACAAGAATCTCAACAGGCAAATTAGCGCAAATTTTTTTTGCTTTCAGTAAGATTTTTTTCTACGAGATATTAATGGGGTGATACAAATTTCGCACAATTTTACGAAAAAACAGTTTCACTAAATAGCCAACAAGAAAAATTTTGGCTGAGTCCACTAAATGTTTCATCAACAAAACGTTTTATTGGCACACTAAAAAATTCAATAGGCTCAGCAAACTTTTCTTGCCGGCCTATAACTAATCTTGCTATCCTAGCAAACTGTTGTTTCCGTATTATCTGCATTTAAATGCGTAGAAACGTTGTTCGAATTTTATCGCAATCTTTGAAAAAAAACAAAAAAAAAAAAGAAATCCAGAGTGCGAGTTTTGTCTTCAAATTCGTTGTCGCGACAAAATACAAAGTGCATCTATGATCGCGCGCTCGAATAGCTAGGGAAGTATAGATAAACCTATACTATCAGTACCCTTGGCGGAGAAGGGAGGAAGAGCGATTTGCATGACGGTAATGCATGTGATGTATCGGGGTCTCTTATGTCGTCGTTATGCGGTTATACGACGCACTGTATCGTGCCGGTATTAAGGGCGCAGCTGTTTAATGACGTTAGTTCGCGATGAGAGTTCGGCGGCTGTGCGATTCACGAAAATATGTGCCGGAACGAAAGACGGAGAGAGAGAAAGCGTCGACACAGCACGATGATCGATTTTCGATCGCGCTGCGTGCCAGCAACGCAGCTGCTGACGCGCTTTTCTCTCCGCGTTCGCTCTCTCCCGAAGCTTCTCTCCGCGCATAATGCGTTTCCGCGTACAGACGGATGCAGATTAATTAATTCCTTATTGCTTGCGCTCCGTACCTACATGACGCGCGATTGCTTGATTAAACGCGATAACAGTCCGCTGAATTGGGAAACCTAACGCCGCGGCTCTGTTGCGTAATACGCACCTTTGTCGCGTGCAAGATTACGTTTGTTCAACATTTTTATTCTCCGAATTAACTAACCGGGAAACAAATTGGAAAATATATTTGTTTAGAAAATATTCAGTTTGTTTTTTTATATTTCACGCTTTTGTTTCTCGACGTTTCAATATTAACGCTATTGGAATTATTCTACCTTCGAATGTTAACGTCGCGATAGAGAGGAAGATCGCTGGCACGTTATTGATAAATAGAGCAACCGCGCGAGAGACACGAGCTCCTGATAATCCAATGTAGACCGCGAAACACTCGAAGAGATATTTGACGTCGGGCGAGACGCGCGCGCTTAACAATGACGCGCAACGTTGAGTGTGATTTAACGTGACGTCTAATCGGATCTATCTGTGTGCCGCCTCTGTTGTGTCTCTCCTCGTGCTTGTTGGCACAGAGGACACTCGAGACAATTGTCGTAGGTACATACGTATACGTGGTGAATCTGCGTCACACGAGTCCTTTGCGGAAATTCTAGAGATTCGAACAAACGATTAAGATGATCGGCACATTTTGTAGTAGCGAGAGAGCGCACACGTGTCAATTAGAGCTATCGCGCACAAAATGACACGGCTGTCATTCCGATAATTATCTTTTCAAGTTGGATATATAGAAACCGGAATCAGAGCTTTTACGTGCTTCAACTGTTAATACAGTCGTTGTAAAGTTTGCGACACGATCGCTTTGGCTCTTATTGGCTTTTTCCTAGAGTTCGAAATTTCGTAGGGAAGGATGCAGATACTCGCTGCGGCAAACGCAACGCACGAGGACGGATCTTGATGGGTTCTTGCAGTAGGCACTTCAGCGCGAATCGCGTTGTTTTTCAATGACCTCTTCGAACCTCTCTCGAGGCAGAAGAGGAAGAGAAAGAAAGAAAGAGAGAGGATATTCCGGGATCGGGGGCGTCTGCCTTCTTGTTTCGAATATTCCACAATACGCATCATCCAACCCATCATTCACGCTCCCTTCGCGAGATTCTATTCTCTTTCCAGAGAAAGGGGGCGCCACAAAGCGCATCGCCCACGTCCTTTGTTGTCGTGCATCGACTTTATCTCTCGCCACCACCGGATTCCCCGGTGCTTGCTCTCTTCTTCCTTTTAACCCTACATCTACTCGCCTCGCCTCGCTTTTGTGGAGAAAGAGGTCTCTCTCAAAGGGACCGGCTCTTTTCTTCCGAATTGTTCTTTGTTTTCCCGTGCGCCAAACCCTCTTTTCCCTTTCCTCTCTTCCCCACGCCCTCGGCTTTCTTGAGAACTACCGCGCTGGCGAACTTCAAAGCTTCGCAAGTCGGAAAATCGCGCCGCCACGGTGACAATCCGACGGTGGAAACGGCGTTTCGGGCTTTATTTTGTTTACGCAAATGTGACGCAACGCGCCACAACTTTCAATCGGAATCTTTTGTATAAAATTTTGTTGCGACAGCTTGGCTTCGACTGGGAAACTGTTTCTCTTCCTCTCTTTCTCTCTCTTTTTCTCATTGTGTTTCCGCGTTGCGGTTGCACGTCTTTATATTTACGTACTTGGGCTTGATATGGCGAGTTCTTTCTCTTCTCTATCTCTTTTGCTTTGTTTTTGCGTCTCCTCTCTTCATTATTCCGCGTTTTCCACGACGAGCGTTCGCATTAGAAACACAAAAGGACAGGCTTTTCGTCGTAATTTCTAAAAGTTTCTGTTTTGGTTCTTGTTTATTTTCTTAATTAGGACTGCGAGGAATCGTTGTGGGATCATCGGAACCAGACGGAGCGCACAAATCTTTACAAAAAGCAAAAGAGAACCGGGACCTAATACGCACCATATGCGCTATAATTGATAAGTAATAATAATAAATAATAATAAAAACAAATGACACAAAGCAGTATTTCTACAGTTAAATATTAGTAAACAGAGAAACTCAGAAAATATGTAAATTGCGGCAGGTATCAATATATTTTATATCAAATCAATATCTCTGTATAATGGTGTTAAAAACAGTGCCATTTGAAGATCAATTTACATAAATTGTGTTAGTTTATTTTATGATTTAATTTATTATTACTTTTTTTTATTGAAAACATATGGAAATACAGAATTATTAATCAGCACACATTAAGTAAGTCCAAAAAATAGAAAATACAGTACTTGAAAATTGTCCTAATATTTTCCCACTTTTCCGTTTTTTATTTTTTTCCTTATTCTTTCCATTTATTTTAAATTACACTTTAAAATCACGTTCTTTTGTTCTTTTTTTTTTGATTAAAATAAATTGACATACTCCGCTGTCGTTGCGCTCTTAACAGCCGATCTTAATCGATCTAATCTAAATAGTCTCTAATTGTGCAAGATGCGCTAATTACGCGGCCACACAATCGTGACAATGTACAGCAAACAAAAGCACCTATCGTTGTACTTAGCGGATCGTTGAATCTTGCAATAATTAATAAAATTTACTTAAAGTTGTGCGTTGCGATTTGAAACAGCATCTTCTCGAGTTGCATCGTTCAAAAGTGCATTGTATTAATTATTTGTAACCAGTGCGTTTCCAATCAGTTTTGATTGGAAATGCACTCGACACAGCCGTTACTTTCCGATCTTTACCGCTCGTTAAATCGATCGTCGTATCTATTTTATCGAAATTTAATTTAATTGCGAATTGTTGATCGTAGGTGTCATCTATATACAGCTTCAGTTGATGTTATTTTTTTCACCTTTGTGTTCTGATAAAAACAGTGTGCATCATATTAAAAAAAAAACAAATATAAAAACATGTGGGATGGAATTTGTAAAATTTTTTGTAAACACATTTTGCCAAATAATATTTTTTGCGTTGCTAACTTTCGGATTAAACGGGGAAAATAACATTTCAATGCAAAATATCAAGTGTACAAAACGTTTCGATTAAAAATCCACAAATTACAAATAAATACTAGCCAATATTCTCACGCCGTTCTTGGTCGACGGTTATTGCTGCCGCTTTGACGATCATGTGTATTATTTTAACAT